GGGTTTAGGGTTTAGGTTCAGGGGTTCAGAGGTTTAGGTGCTTAGGTGTTTAGGGTTTAGGGTTGTGGGTTTAGGGGTTTGGGGGTTTTGGGGCTTAGGGGTTTAGGGTTGGGGTTTCAGAGTTCAGGCCGGGCTTAGGCTCCCTGGTTCTACCGCCCAAGCCTCCAGATCCTTGCGTGCTCCGAACCAAGAGGATCCATATTGTCTAGGGGATTGGGGTTTAGGGTTTAGGGTTCAGGGGTCTTAAGATTCAGAATAGGGTTTCGGGGTATACTACCAAGAGGGTCCGTAAGCACTACAATTATGGAATTAGGTCCCTCAAGACCATTGTGTGGATGGTCTTCTGGGGCCTAATTTCTACCATGGTACTGTACATGGACCCTCTGGGTAGAAGGAGCCTTTGTTGACTCAGGGCTGACACGGCTCCTACATCAAGCAGTGGAGTTTTTTGGGTCTGAAACTTGAAGGGCGAAGGGACCCCAAAACCCTATACCCTAGACCCTAAACCCTAAACCGTAAACATAATGGTACTGTAGACCCTATACCCCAGACCCCAAACCTTAACCCGGAACACTACGCCTCTAAAGGCTTCGCTGTGGCTTCGGACCTGGGGCGCATAGACCCCTGTTAAAGGAAACTACAGGGGGGGAGTTTAGGATAGGGTTTAGGGTTTAGGGTTTAAATGAAACTACAGGTGGGGAGATCAGGTTATATAGGGCTTCTACATGCCTTCTATAAGGTATATAGACCTTCTACAAGGCCCCTATAACGGGAACTACCCACCTGAAAATGTCCTAGATAAAGCCCAAGGCACAGCTCCTTTCTCCTCTGTCGCGTCACCTTCGGTAGCCTGGTTTAGGGCTTCGGGTGTTTAGAGCCTTCAGGGCTTTTGTTTGGGTTTCAAGATTTATAGTGTTTAGGAGAGTACAGGGTGGAGCGATGGGCCTTAATAGTTAGAAGAGGGGTTTAGGGTCTCATATAGGGGCCGTAATAATTAGTGTAGGGTTTAGGGTTTAGGGTCGAATAGAGGGGCCTGAATGATTAGAATAGGCTTTTGGGGTATACTATACTACAACTGTAAAAAATAGTAGAGGTAATTCTTCAGGCCCCTACACCACACCCTTAAAAAGATACATGCCAGCCTCCCCAACCCTCGAGGTTTTTGCAGCTTCCACAAGAGAGGGGAAACTTCCAAGGTGGTTTCGGGTTGGGAGGTTCGGTTTTCAGAGTAGGGGGTTGAAGGCTCTTCCCAACTTTAGAGGTTTCAGGCTTAGGGTTTTTTGGGTGCTTTTTGGGGTTTAGGGTTTAGGGTTTAGGAGCTTTTAGGGTTTAGGGGTCAGGGTTTAGGGTTTTTAGGTGTTAGGGGCTTTTAAGGTTTAGGGTTTAGGGGTGAAGGTTCTGCATGGCTCCGGGATCTGCAGGGCTTCTGCCCATGGTCAGGGGTTTAACACCAGGCTCGTCGCATTCACTTCAACAGATGAGGGATGTGATGTCGATTGCTGTTGCCACCATTCCCGTATAACAACCCAATGTCAGGATTCAAAACATACGCACTCGCCCCAAAATCCTCAAAATAATGCCTACTTGATCAAGATTGACGGCCGTGGCAGCTGTAGCACAAGGTCGAGCATTTCCCAAAAGGCAGACCAGGGACCTCGTTTTCGCCACACTCCACAGCGGCCACGGTGTCTTGCGAAGCCTGAGTGTGAAGTTGACTTGGGAGTTTTATGCAGGGGTTTAGGGGTTTAGGGTTTAGGGGTTTAGAGGTTTAGGGTTTATCACACACACTCTGAGGCAGGTGCACGGCGCAAGCAGTGCAGCCAGCTGAATCCGGTCGGTGTCCGAAGCGAAAAGCTCACAGATGGAGCGCCTCAAACGGCCTCTGCAATGTAGCAGCTGTACGGATGGCCTGTCGGCTGAAGAAGTCACGAAGCAGCTGCTGTCCTCGCTGAAGCAACCCAGTATCAACCCCAACCAAAATACCATCACAAGGAAAAGGAACACCAAGAGACACCCTGTTCAGGCGCCACAGCTGCAAACGAGACAACTCAAACCTTCTGAGGAAGGGACGCAGCGCCCTTCGTATCAGTCGTAACTGTACATCGACTGTGTGCTTTACAAACGGCAAAGTCTGATCAGAACGACTCTTCCAACGGCCCGTCGATCCACACTGCACTGGAAAAGGTGTTGTACCGTCCAGGATAAACATGGCGAGGAACTCGAGGAAAGTGATCGAGTAGGCACACTCAGAGCATCCATCCAATTTGAGAAAAAATGCACAAACCCCCAAGATGAAATCACTGGGCAAGTCCGTGCAATGCTGAACCAGAAGCGGCTGCCAGCCCACAGGCAAGCACTCGGTGATATCCAGTATCCGCGGCTGGCCGAGTGGTAAGTCTTCTGCAGGATCACAAGGTTCAGGAGGCTCAGCATCGGTAGGGACAGCTCTCATTGCCACACCATAAGTGATTTGTGCGATGCCACAATAAATGCTGCGGAGAGCGCGGATCCGAGCAGCAGTTACCTGAAAATGAGCAACCGCCTGAGCGTGCACCTGCTGGAATTGCCAAGGCCGATTGAGGTTGCACAAGCCAGCAACCGTATCAGCATGCTGGTTCCAGCAGCTGAGCCAATCCTCAAAGGGGCTCTCACAGCAGTTGACATCCAAGCGGGAAGGTGTATGCTGCACTTGTAGCATGCCCGGTTCAGTGTCACCAAGTTGCGACAGCAGCACATGCCAAAGGTCCTGGTTGCCCCAGGCGCGATCGAGTAGTTCACCTTCTAAGAGTTGACGCAGTGATGATGCTACATGTTCAGCATCGCACCAGATGACTGCTTGGACTCTGTGTTGTCGTGCCCAAGTGACGGCCGAAAGGACAGCCGTGAGCTCAGCTCGTGGCGCTGATTGTTGCAGGCCATGCAGTGGGCCACACGCGATGATTTCTCCGGTGCAAGAGTTGACAACACTCCATGCCGCGAGCGAGAGTTCGGAGGCACCAAAGGCACTGCAAGAACCGTCAGTGAAGATATGCTGACATTCTCCAACTGTGGGCGCAGACAAGAAACAAGCAGTGTAGTCAGGCAGCCCCTGCAGAAGGCGTCGCAGGCTTGGTCCATGCGGATTCGCAGATGGCAGAAGGTGATGGCTAAGCGCCTTCGGTAACTGTGGCCACTCTGCAACAACCCAAGAGTGTGGTGCACGTACGGCGCTGAAGCGAGGACAAACACACACGCGATGATAAGCATCATCTGGCAAGCCGCACAAAGCGCAGAGACCATCCTTTTCCAAGTCAAACTTTGACTGGGAATCACCGAACATGTTGGCACCACTCTGTAGTGCCGACACCCAGGTCCTAGATAGGGAAGGGAGGCTACACCAATCTAGGGCAACCAGGGCGGGATCAATGCCGTCAAGATCGTACATGGTTTTCCGGTGCTTGTGATTGTATGCGACCAAGCGGAGCCAGGCCTTCATCAGCAGTACACGCAGCACTTGTTTGGGAATACCAAGCAAATCATGGGTCAAGCCCTCCTCGTCTTGCACAAATGGCGGAAAGAGCACACGCCATTGAATCGAGTGCAGTAAACGAAGAAGTTTGGAGAACGGGCCATGAAGAAGGTCGCCCTGAAAGCGCGAGGCAAAAAGCTGCCAGAGGTCGAGGAGCCCCGGCTGTTTTGTGCAGATGCGACGGAAAGTATTCACACAATCCCACAGCTGGAAGAAACCCGGGTCTGCAGTAGGCACTCCAGACAAGGAGAGTCTCAGCATTGGGCTTGAGCCGCTACACTGAAGCTTGAGCGCTCGCACTGTTTGAGTACGCAGGCCCTGCAACGTAGCTTCAGAGACAAGGCATCCGGCAGCGCCATGCAGAGCCATGGACCAAAATTTAGTTGGCAGGGTGCGCAACTTGAGATGCAATGGCGCACGGGAGCGAGAGAGCCGCCGGAAGACGGGGCCAAGGGCCCGACATCGATCAACAAGCGCACGATTGCGCGTACTAGGGCCGAAGGACATCAAGCCGCCGAGTTCACGGCTAGCATCGGTGACCTTGAGGCCAAGCTCCCGAAGGATACGCCTTTGAATCGAGTCAGTTGACCATGTGTAGGTTTTGGCACCATCCAGCGTGAGACCGAGAGCATCACAGAAGCACCTTGTAGCGTTGAGGCCTTGGGCAACAGAGTAAGCCGATTCACCCGTCCCCAGAAGGTTGTCAACAAAAGAAAGACTGCGAATCGAGGGTGTAAAGACTTCAAGGTAACGGTGGAACATGAAGTCGCAGATGCACATGGCCACCGTGCTGAGAGGACACCCCTCAGGGAATCCACACTTCGAATACGCAGGAGCGCTGACGCAATGCTGGACGACGAATCGGCGTTGCATACCAGATAAGAAGTTTGACCAAGGCAACAAAACCCCTTCGGGAATGCCTAGCCATCTGGCAGCAGCAAACAGAGGTTGACGCGGCAACGTGTTGAAAGCCTTGACGAGGTCAGCACTGAAACCCGAAAGGGGCTCAGATCCCTGAACCGCGACCTCGATGTTGGCCTGAAGCACAAGCCAGGCCTCAGCAGGCTCGTGATCCGGCAAGAATCCCAGTGCGCCTTCAGAGATTACATCACGAAGCCAGCGCAAAAGCTGCCTGGCGCGGATGCCACTCCAGGTGCGATAGACGATGCTGAAAAGCACAATGGGACGATACCCTTCAACATCAAGCTTACCATTGCGCTTATCCAAGGCATGTACCAGGCCAACCAGCAATTGTTCTGGCCAGGCGGCGCCTGCTTCAATTGCAGTCAGGAGCTCAAGAAGCTCGCACAACCTTGGCAACGGCATGTTTTGCAGATCGGTTTTAGCGTAGCCATCGGGACCGCGAGCAGCATAAGGCTTGTAGCGTTTCAGCGCAGCATGCCAAACATCGGGAGTGATGGGCTCCAATGAACATTGCAGCCGCGGCAGAAAGGCCTTTGTGAAGCGAAAAATGCGCTCCCAGCCATTAGGGCTTGCAGCCTTGTTCCAACGTTCAGACCAGACTTTGAGAAAAGCCTCCTGAATTTCAGGAGGGGAGGAAACATAACATGATTGCTCAAGCTCCTCGCCTGTGGGCAGCGGATCGCTACCCGAGACACGGCATACATCCTGGGAGACAGGTGTGATCGCAACTGGTATGCCGTCTAGCCTCCACTCGGAGTGACCATGTGTGGCCAGGGGGGCACTAACATGGAGCAGTTTCTCTGCAGGGTCACGTGCAAGAACTTCGTAGGTATGAGTAGAAACCAACAAGTCAACATGGGAGCTTGGAGGCTCGCGGAGCTCAAGATAGAGCTGTTTGCAGGAGGCATCGTGTTTGTTTTGAAGGATTTGCTGCCGTTTTTGGATGTGCCATGCTTCAAAACGCCTGTAGTTGGCCCGGAAGTCATAGAAGATGGCCTGCGCAACCTGATAGCATGGCACTTGTTCGGGAAGACGAAGTGGGCAGCCTGGTAGCTGCACCGGCCGATGAAGCCACCACGAAAAGAATCCAGCATGAAAGCCACGGGCAGAGCGTATGGCTGACCACAAGCCACCACGATACTCCAAGGCATTTTCATGGGGTTCGGAACGTTTGAGGGCGTGACATAGGCTTTGTAGCCGGCGTAGTTGCTTAAACCAGCGATGCACCTCACGAGGTACCAAGTCGTGTCGAAGGGCCTCCTCACCAGCACGGCTGGGCTTAGGCGGGGGAACACAAGCCCTCTGAAGGACAGGAGCACGCAAATGAACACGACCGCGACAGGAGCCAGGCAACTTGCCACCGGGCACCGGCAGGTTCCCATCAAGGCTTTGTTCAAATAGCCGAGCATGGTGAGAAAAGAAAGTGGTAGTGACAGACTGAGATGAGTCACCGTCCACGCTCAAAGGCACAGCAGCATGGGTCTGTGCACGATGGCGCTCCAGTGCAATCTCCGACCAAGGAATCTCGGTGGGGAGAGGCCAAGCCCAATAGGCCTCAGCACTGGGAGCAATTCGAAGTTGAGCACCGACAGTAGAGTGCTCCTGGAAGCGATCTTTAACATACGCAGAGACGCAGAGCGACGCAGCCTCGGGTGACAAAAAGATGTAGTCTCGACGAGTGGCACCCTTACATGTAGGCTGAACAGGAGAGGCCCATCTCTGCCAAGCCAAGTCCTGGATGTCCACCCAGCCCGCTTGCTTCCACAAACTCACCTGGGAGAGATCATCTTGGGCCGCATTGAAATCACCGACGATGGCTCGAGGCCCGATTCGACCTAGGACAATCTCTTTGGTAATGGGGGCAAGCAGGCAGCAGCGTGTGGGTGATTTGGGCTGTAGCCATAAATGTTGGCAACCAGTAAGGGAAGCCCAGGAATACAATGCTGGACTACTTGCAGTCGCCCAGTTTCATACAGACCGTCGGGCCATACTATTGAGACCTCACGTGCAGGCCAGTCAGAGATGGACAAAACCCCAGTCCAAGCTCCCGCCCATGTACTATGAGCCCGAAGGGGCGCCGGGGCCCCAGACACAACCCTAATACAACGATGTTGGTCCTTGCCAAGATGTTGAAGGGTACGCTTGCAAGTGGGCATTGTCACCGATGATAACTGAGTCTCACTCAGACAGTGAATGCCGATTTCATGTTCGATCAACACAGCTTCCTTCCCTCGGAGTCCAGAGGGATTGGAAGTGGTCAGCCAGAATGAATTATCAGGACCCGGATTGGAGGCTTCACCAACACGATAAGGCATCGCATTCACCCCACAGTTGGTGGCCTGTGCAAGTGGCAGGAAGTAGGAGGCACAGAATAGCCAACACGCGATCAGCGAGAGAGGCGACATCCGTGCACCATGGTGCTTAGAGCGTACAACCCTGGCGAAGACAGTCCCAAAGCCAAGGACAAACCGTAAAGCGAGAGCACAACAAAGAACCAGCCTGCATCCAAGAAAGATGCAGCTGGGCTGAGCTAGTCACTCAGCTCGATGCTTCTTGGTGAGAAGCGCCTCAAGTCGATTGCTTTGCTCATTGAATTGTTGGAGTTGAGCAGCTATGTCGGTAGCGATGGTGCCAACCGCTGTCTGAACAGTCTGTTGCAGAGACTCAGAATGTTGAGCAACCTCATTTTTGACCTGGGCAAGATCGGCTTGCTGTGCTGCCACAGTTTGCTGAACAGCACTGACCTGTTGACCAAAGGACTGGAACCATCCCTCAAACTTCGTGCCTTGATGCTTGAGCTCATTGACTGTGGCCTCGAGTTGCGTCAGCCTTGTCTCGGCGGCATTGGCATGAGCATCTGCAGTGCCTGCAGCCTTAACCGTTTCGGAAACCTGCTTTTTCACAATTTCTTGAACCCCAGACGTGATCTCGGTTCGCAGTTGGCTGAGCTTAGTAGCGGCAGTAGAGCCTGAAGCAGGTGTCGAACCCGTAGTCGGTGCAGGAAGGCCTGGCGGGGCTCGCGAAAGAGCCCAAGGATCAAGACCATTGGCCCATGGGTCAGCAACATTGTCATCGTCATCATAGAGGATGCTGCGCTTCGTACGGCCAGAAGCAGTAACAAGCGGCTGCGCAGCCGCCGCCGCAGTGTCACGCACTTTTCGGACAAGAACATAAGCATCGCCGCAAGCGAGCGCTGGGCTGGGCGGGGCATCGGATGCCCCAACAATCCACGCAGCTCCTTCTGCATCCCCTCGAGCAGGCTGCAACGGCTTAGCCTCCCATTTCCACTCACGAAGCAGCGCAAGCAGATGTTTGCGGAGGCAACCAAAGGGCAGAGGATGAAGGCGATAATGCGCCTTCACAGCAACCTTGGTAAAGATACTTCCCGGGCGTACGGCTTCGAAGACAGCCTGCTCATCCTGCTCCCGGACACGAACGCCGTAGCGTTTGCTGAGCCTTGCGATAGCGATGGCCTTGGTGCATGTGCGCAGGGTATGCAAGGCCTTGGCGTAATCAGCATCAGGAAACCAAATGACGGCAAAGCCAGGGTGTGGCCCGGCACCCCCAGTAGCTCGAGGCTCAGTGTAGAATCCCCGTACCATGATCTGTTGCAAATGCAGCAAAGCCGAGGAAGGGACACGGATCAGACAGTGAAAGGACTGCGCATCATTGGGAGAAGCACGGCCACCCTCTAGCTTGGACCACTGACGGCCCCAAAGGTCAATGATGAGACGATCGACAACGTCAACCTCCTCAACAGCTGGATGAAACCGCCCACAGGTTTGTGCACAAGCCTTGTCGGCACACAATGACAGCGCGGGAATCAACTGCAACAAGACACGAATTGGCCCCTTTTGCAGCTCTGACCAGTCCAAGGCAATCTCATCCCGATAAACCGAAATTCGGCAGGTTACTGTTTCAAGCTGTTGTACCTCAGCAATGCTTTGGGAGGCGAGCTGCACAACCTCATCCCCAATCTGAATGAGCGACCCACGAATGAGGATGGCTTCCTCCGTGGGGCTATACACAGCAGGAAATTGGAGTGAAGAAACAGTCGCACCACCATAGACATCAGGCGGGAGCTCGGTCACACATACCAACGCCAGGGCATCAACGCTCAAAGACTGGGGATTCTGAAGGAATGGCACTGCTTGTTGGGGGCTGCAAAAAGCAACGCCCTGAACTTCGGCACCAACCTCAGAGAATGCAAGCTGGGGCAATGGCCGCCCATCAACCGTAGTGAAAGATCCAGGGGCAATCTGAAGCTTAGTGGGATCGACCTGAAGTGGCTGAGCAGCAGCTTTGGGTGCCTTATCCTTGCGCTTCTTTTCCCTGCCATTGGGAACAGCAGTACCAAACTTAGCATGGGCACGCTCGTCGATGTGAGCGGTAAGCTCATCATGCTGGATCCAGCGAAACATGCAGTTGGGTTGCGAGCCCAAGGATTTAAGCTGGGGCCAAGCATTCTTCATAGCAAGTGCCTTTGCGATAGGCCCGGCACCAATCTTTTGCACCGCTGCAGCGACCCTGTTTTCAACAGCAGGTTTGGGGACACCCCTTTCAACAAGAAGGTCCTGGAGCCTCTGGTTTTGGTCGGCTGACAGCTGTCCGCTAGCATGCACTTGAGCTGGGCAGTGTTGATGTTTAAGAAGCAACTGGTCAGCCCACTCAGGGGCGCGTTGCAAGTCACTTGTGACAAAGGCAACAGCATGCTGCAGTGCGATACGGCCACATTCATGCGGTGCTTCTTGCTCATACCAGGTAAAGGGCTCGAAGCTTTTTATGTGCAGCCCAAAGGCAGCAGCAACAGCCTGAGCCAGACGCAGAGCGGGCTGATAGAGTCGAAGGTGCACCCCATCCAAGTACAGCACCGCGGCAGTGCCTGGTGTGACGATGTGAAAGCCTAGACAGGCCCAATGCCCGCTGTCAGCAAAAACCATCACGAGTCGGTCAGCAGTGCACTGCAATCGTAGGCCGAGCATATTCATTGACTCAGGTGCCAAAAGCAACACTGCAGCAAGCTGAGGCGGCAAACATTGCACAGATGTTGTAGGGATGCCAGAGCAAGCCTCACAAAGCGCCGCAGCGAGCTGACCATCAGAAGCTGCTTGTTGAGTCGCTGACCGCAGGGTGGTGTCAGCAACAGGCTGAGGAGCAACTTTGGCTTGGCGTTTCGGTCGTATCACAAGTTCATAGGAGTTCTGCTCAGCCGCGGGATGCAAAAAGGCATCAGCAGAGAGCCGTCGATCGGCACACCAAACACTGACGTTGAAACCTGAGCCAACGCAACTGCGAATCTCATCAAGAACCCTGCCAACAGTCCAGGGGACATCGGCAACAGGTAAAGAGACATGACGCGTGCAGCTGAGCTGTATCGGCTTGTCAGTAATCAGCGACGGGACTGGAAAAACATCCTTGACATCATGCTCAAGGCGCTGTCTGAGAGCAACAAACACAGCAGATGGCTTGACCGAAGTTGCAGCCTGAAAGTGCTCGGCAGCCCATTCGGTCAGCTGGGCAAAGATCCAGATTGATTGCAAAGGGGAGCTAAGACTGCCGATTAAGCACAAACCGACCCTGGTATCACCCACAAACCGAAATCTGGGGGACAATCCATTCAGCAGAGCAGCCTCTTTGGGGTGCAAAAAGCGGGGCGCAGACGAAATCCCTGAAACTACGCCTACATCAGCAAGCCCGCTCTGAAGGAGTCGCTCCTCAGAGAGACCCTCCTCCCGGCAGCCACAGGGGCAAGGAGTCAAGGCATGTCCCCAAGAATGCACCGCAACAGGCGCTTGGCCAAGCATGTTGAGAAACCGAGGTTCAGCACCATAGCGGTCATCAAGTAGCTTTTCAGATTCTTCATTGGTCCAACAAAGGGCGGCTTCTTCCGAGGCAGACCAGACAGGCCATTCAGGAATTATGTCACGGATGCACAGTCGGGGCTGACAGCTTGGCGGTGGTTCAAGCACTAGCGGGGGCATACCTTGAGGCGTAAGGCAGCACCACCACCGGCGGCGCTTAGAAACCCAAAAGTGCGCCAAGTCTAGTTCAACCCAATTTACTTGCCATTGTGCATGCTGAGCGAAAGTTCGCAGTCGTGTCATGACACCTCCATGGCAAGACAAGTCAAACGCACATTCCAGTACAATGCAGGCTGCGTTCAAGCGCCAGCCAACTTGTAGCACATGTTGCAGATTATCAGAGCATGCTGCTTGACTGACCTGACACACTGGCTTACCTGGAATACTGGCTGTAACAGTAAGCGCACAATGAAGGCCCGATGATGCCACAACATGATGAATGTCCAATTGCACTGAAGCAAGACCAATGTCACCAGTGATAGCCCTACCTCCGTTAGCCTTGATTGTATCAGTGGCCAAGGACGACTTATCAACATGAACAATGGTCTCACCTTGCAACAGTGGCAGTTCAACCGTCATGCCTCCAAGACCACTGTAGAGATCCACAACCGTTCGAAAGGACTCCAACAGGATAGGCTTGGCTGGGAAGGACAAGGATTCCGGGGAAGCTTCAAGAATTGCTCGATCATTATGCCACCCAATGAGGCGAAACTTGTACAAGGTATGCTTGCCCACAGTTAAGCCGCTCCCATCAATGAGGAAAGGTTCCGCCGTCCAGAGTGCCTGTCCAGTCACTGGTTGCTGGCCTGTCACCAAAACGACACCTGACCAAAGGTCAGAATCCTGCAGCGTAGCATAACTACGATCCCCCATTGCGAAAAGGTCTCCCGAGGTTTTGCTGTAACCTAGCTCCACTGCTGAGAAGGCTCGGGCCCAGAGCTAGAGGTTTAGGGTTTAGGGGCTCACAGCAAACTCGCGACCCCAGTATAGACCCCAAATGAATTTCTGAAAGGGTTTCATCAAGGCCGTCTTCAAGGCAGTACAGGGGTTTGAGGGGTTGCATCGTTGGGGTTCAACACTGGTTCAACATCAAAGCTTCCTGCGGGCTGGCAGTAGACGGTTCATGACGGGGGAGCTGGCGTAGCACTTCAGTTCTGCACCGTAAACCTCAAACCCCAGCCATAAACCCTTTAGGATTTAGAGTTTCCAATCTTATGCCTGAATCCACAAACTTGCAAACTAAGCTATGAACCAAAAGCCAAAACCAAACCTTAAGCACTGAATTAAATCTAAACCCTGGGCCTGAAACCTCAACACTGCGACCTGATACAAAACCTTATCCTACATCCTGGCAACCCAAAACCTAGACACTGAAACCCCATATCCTACAGCCTGAGAACCACAAAAGTCCGAACCGGGTTTAGGGTTTTACGAGTTTTACTGCCCTTGATCCTAGAACCCCTAACCCTGAACCTCCACACACCGCCATTAAACCCCGGTTCGATCCTCGAAGCTCCTTCAAACCCCCCTCTGAACCCTTTTTTGTACCTGTATAAACCAAGCCCATGGGAACCGTTTGAGATTTGTATAAAACCAACCCATGGGAACCTTTTGAGATAAAAGAAACCTGTCAAAAAAAGGCACAACCCTAAACCCTAAACCCTAAACCTTAAACCCTAAACCCCCAAACCGTGAATGAACACCTGAAGCCCGGAAAGACGGAAGATGGCCCGCCGAAGAGCATCTTCGTGGCTAAGCTCTCCGGCAGCAGCGTCTTCCGGAGCCTGGAGTACTGGACTTTGAAAGTAGCCAGGGAGTCCCAAAAAAGTATACACGTATTGTTTGAGAATGGCTCGCTTTGGGAACAGGTCCACAAAAAGCTTTAAAGGTATGGAACTCCAGAACCCAGAGCAGCGACAAGACGATATAGCGCTTCATGGCGTGAAGGTGTGACTTTGCTTTCGGGAATGTACCTACAGTCTCCATTGTAGTTCCTTTTTTTGGTTTAAACCTTTAGATTAAGGAGCCTAAAAGGTAACCCCAAAAAAGGAACTACAATGGAGACTATAGGTAGGGGGGGTTTGGGGTGCTTTGTGTCTGGAGGCTTCAGGCGACGTATTCCAAGATGTGAGGCTCTGGGGCACGAGGCTCAGACCTACAACCCTATGTAAACCCTAAAACCGAAACCCTAAACCCTCAACCCTAAACCCTAAACTCTAAACCCTAGACCCTATAAACCTTAAACCCTAAACCCTAAACCCAAGAGCCACAAATTTTCCTAGCCCCCGGAGCCCGGGTCCTGAACCTAGACCTCTATCGTCACAAGGTCTACTATAGTACATTATGGCGGTACATTCTAGTGTATGGTGGTATTATATGGTCTATCATGGTCTATTATAGTATATTATGGCGGTACATTCTAGTGTATGGTGGTATTATGTGGTCTATCAGAGTCTATCATGGTCTATTATAGTATATTATGGCGGTACGTTCTAGTGTATTGTGGTATTATATGGTCTATCATGGTCCGTTATAGTATATTATGGCGGTACATTCTAGTGTATGGTGGTATTATGCGGTCTATCATGGTCTATTATAGTATATTATGGCGGTACATTCTAGTGTATTGTGGTATTCTATGGTCTATCAGAAGAGTCTATCATGGTCCATTATAGTATATTATGGCGGTACATTCTAGTGTATTGTGGTATTATGTGGTCTATCATGGTCTGTTATAGTATATTATGGCGGTACATTCTAGTGTATGGTGGTATTATGTGGTCTATCATGGTATCTTCTAGTATACATCATGGTCTTCTTCGTCAGTTCAACCTTGAGGGACGATGTGAGAAGGCCGCCTGTTCCTGTGAGACATGCGGCTTACGAATCAACGGTCGCGTCAGTCAGCGCTGTCAGTTGTGTGTGCACGCCGTTGGAAGGTTCGAGCAGGCACATCGCAAGGAGTCCATGCAATGGAGAGACCGCGGCTTAAAAGCTTGGACCTGCAGAGAGGGTAAGTGTACGAGGCACTGTTAGCTCCTGTTTCGTACTGTACCACAGGGCCTTCACAGTTAGACTAGGGTCTTGCAGTATCTTATGCTATGATCATAATCAGGAACCCTAATGGCTTCAGAACGGCGAGAGTCTGACATTCTGGTTTGACATATCTTTTCGTATGATTTTAGGTGCAGAGATATCGGGGCTGCCCGATACCAGTGCCAGTGAGGCCGCATCTTCTGACTTCGCGACACTCGAGACCGACCAGGTCCCAAAAGAGTCTGCAAGCCCCCACCCCTCTCCGCATGCACACAGGCCCTAGGGCGCTCACAGCCATACCTGGGCCATACCTCTTTGGAAGATCTCAGCGGAATCAAGTTTGCCTGCCTGCGCAGCTTTGGTTCCGGAAATATGCTCTGTTGATTGACGACGAACTGTAAAACTATGACGATGAGTCGATGGAAGAAGAGATGATGACTTTGGTGCCAGTGTAAGCCAGCCACTGGGAATACATCAAGCTAAATCAGATGACCCGTCTGTGGGCCGAGGAAACGGCCTCTGCTGTGCCAGACATGCAAGCAGGACGCAGCAACATCTGCCATGCATGTTGCGACGGATGTACGTTTTCATGGGAAGTGAAACGGTCGAAGGCCCGAAACCCACCCCCACCCCCCCCCCGACCACCATCCAGGCCCCCTTGCTGCAAAGATGAAGCAAGATGACTGACAGCTTCTTCGGCACGACCTCATCCTTCACTTCACGGCGGGCCTACACCCGAAGGCTCAATCTTCAAACTGCATGCTCGGCAGAACCCGAGGACGACATCCGGAAAATCACCCAACAAGGCTCAGGTGTCAGGGTTCGATTCTCGGGTCCCTAAACCCCAAACCCCGTAATAGGAATCTCGAAAACCCATAAGGGTAGTTCTCTAAAGTAGGATCCCTTTTTGGGGGTCCTTTTATAAGGGTGCCGTACTATATTGGGGACTAAAAGGGGGCCCTAGTTTAGAGAACTACCCATAAGGGCTTAGGGTTTAGGGTTTAGGGTCATGTGCATCTGAGGCACCTCGACTTGAGCAGGTTGCGTCTCATCGGGCGTGGGCGAGTCTGCAACAGAACGCCGAAGCCTGG